TTAACTACCCCCCTGTTTTTGTTACAAAATTTCTACCTTTATAGTTATGACAGTCGCAGTTAGTCATGATAACAATTACTCATTATTGAATCTAAGAATCTTATCCCCCATCTCTGTTCACCACACTCATCTAGATAAGATGAAAACTATTTACTGGGGACTCTATCTTCCCCTGCACACTCTTAAACTAAACTCCCTCTTGAAAACTTGTAAGCCAGTCAGTTCGTGCCTTTATTTGTCTTCATTCTTAAAGGATATTTTTGCTGGATTTGCTGCAAAGAATATGGGTGTGCATATGTTTGTTTGTATCATGGCTCTCATTTCTTAAGGATATCTACCAAGTACAAGAATTGCTGGGTTAGATGGTTTTTCTGTTTCCAGCTTTTTAGGAAGACACATACGATTTTCCACAGTGGTTCACCATTTTACAGTTCCACCAACACTTTAGGAAGTCCCAGTGTCTCCACACCCTTTCCTGCATTTGTTGTTTTCTGTTTCTTTGTGCTTTGTTATTAATACTGAATAAGATAGTATCATGCTTTGATTTTCTAGTGATCATGAGTCGTCATATATTTGTTGGTTGCCTGAATGTCTTCTTTAGTGACAGGTCTTTTCAGGTTCTCTGCTCAGTTTTTAACTGGATTATTTGTTTCATCTTGTTGAAGTGTTGAAGTATTTTATAAATTTTAGAGAGTCTCTTATCTGATATGTCATTGCCAATTTTTTTTCCCCTAGTCTATGGGTCTTCTTTTCACTCTTGATGTACATTAGTGTCGAATTTTTAGTAGGTCCTGTCATCTATTTTATCTTTTGCCATTTGTGAGTTCATTCAGCTTTTGAATGGTTATCTTCTTGTCTTCCATGAGGTTAGGGGAATTTTCTTCCAGCAACTCTTAAGTAATTTCACTGTGCTTTTATTGTCTTTTCCTGTTCTGGAATTCTGATCGCCTGTAAGTTAGTCTTCCTTGTGGTGTCCCACAGAAATCTAGTCTTTCTTTTGATTAAAAAAAATTTTTTTTTGATTGTTCTTTTAGTGTATTAGTATTCAGAGATTTATTCGGGCTTTGTCCTTTGTCCTTTCAATTTATTGTCCATTTTGAGATATTAGTATTAATCTTCTAGATTTCTGTTTGCAGATTTTGTAGTGTTTCAAAATTTGCATTTATTTCATCTCTTCTTGTAGTGTTTTTCTAAATCCTTCTAAAGCTTTTTCTGTGTTCTCTTTGCTTTCCTCGACTTTCTATCAATCTGTTGAAAATACTTAAATATAATTCTTTAAAATTTTTTCTCAGGTAGTTCTATAGCCTTTTATTCCTCAGAAACATTTTTTGATTCTGTAGCTTGGTCATTTGTTTAAGCTACTCTGTTTTCTTTCTTCTTCTGAGCTAATAAAATCGTCTGTTGTTTCTGAGGGTGTAGTTAGAGAATGGAAGTGTGTTCACCAGTTTCTGTTCACTGTTTGTGCAGTTCAGTTTAGGGTGGGCTTGGCTGGTGTTGGATAATGTGTATTGTTGATCGTGTATTGTTGATCAGGTGGTATAGAAGCCAGTATTAGCTTTTGCCCATGGGTTTGGTTGGGCTGGATTATATGGGCAGACTATTTTGTCCAGAGGGTATGTGTTTGGCTGGAATATATGGGCATTGTTGCTGTCTCCTGTCAGGTAAGAAAGAGCAGAAACCACAAACAAGCAAACAACAGCTAAAATAGAACATAATAAAGGAGAAAAAAACCCAAAAAGGGACAGCAAAAGAAAAAAACTAAAAAGAGAAAAGAGGAACAGGAAAATAGAACTGTACAAGAGAAAAATAAGAGATAAGAAAATGACAAAAAGCAATAAAAAAAAAATAGGAGTTGAAAAGAGAAAGCAGTAATGACAAATCTAAAGGAAAAATAGAAGGAGAAGATCATGTAAATGAGAAAAGCGGTGATAGAAAGCATAAAAATCAAGGGAAGGAAAAGAGGAAGAAGGAGAAGAAGAAAGAATAAACACACAAAATCAGTGAAACAATGAAAGGAAAAATAAACAAACAAAAACCAGTGCAGTTGTTGGACCCAGAGGAGAAAACTCTGGGGGGCTCATGCCAGCCAGGAAATTCATGAGGTAGATGAAGGAGGATGTGACAGCCCCAGATTGAGTTCCTACAGCATAGGTGTTGTCTATGTCCTGGGCACCCAATCTGCAAGTAATTGTTGGAGGCCCTCTACATTGCTAGTTTCATTGTCTGTCAGAACCGAAGGACAGCTGGATGCCGGGTGGCTGATTATGAAGACTCCTGGTAAACTAATTCCAACCTGGAGGCTCTGTGGGTTCTGTAGAAATGGACTATAACCCATCTGAATCTAGAAGCCAAGGTGCTGTTTGTGCTGTGTGTAGATCAAGATGGGAATCGACCTTACCTCTGTTCTACAGTGGAGTATGGGGGGTAGGATCAAATCACACCTTTTCAGTCGTTCCTGTGAATTTTCCCTCAAGCCACTGTCTTCTTGTCGCTCGCAAAAGTTGAAGATAGCTGGTAGTCTGTTCACTAGTCAGTCTCCTCCTTTTGCTGCCCTTGCTCAGCTTCTCCTCCCAGTATGTAGTCACTCAGTCCACTTCTTTGCCCTTTCCTCTGAAGCTCACTCAGTGTTCCTGGATTATCCTCTGTGTCTGTTTCACTTGGTCTCCTGTGTCTTTGTCATAGAGGATCTGTGTAGCATGTCTGCCAGCCTATCATCTTGCCAGGAGTCCTGCTATTATTTCTTCGAATACGTTTTTACTATCCTGTTCTCTCTGCCCTCTTCTTAAGATATTCCAATTACATGTTGCTAAGTGCTGTTGAGTTGGTTGTGACTCATAGTGACCCTGTATAGGGTTTCCAAGGAGTGCCTAGTCTATTTGAACCTTGAGGTCAGCATTCCAGTGCTTATCCTGAAGTGCCACACCAGGACTCCTCCAGTTACAGAGGCATTCACATTTTGATCGTGTCTCATAAGTTGCTGAGACCTCTTTTTTTGGGGGTGGGGTGGACTTTTAATCATGAATTCAGTGAAAGTTTACAGAGATGGTAGTTTTACATTCAACAAATCATACATTTTGTTTCATCTTGATGATTACAATCCCTTCCATATAATTACAGTTACCCTGCTTCCTCCCTATGATTCTTATTTCCATTCCACCCTTATTCCCATCCCTTTTCAACTTTGTCCTTAGGTAAATGTTGCCCTTTTGATCTTGAATGCTTGACCTTTCCATAGTGGATTACCTTATTAGTGCTGTTATTCCCCCCCTATATACCTGTCTACTGCTTGACTGGCACTTGGGATCTGAGGGTGAGTTCCAGTCCTGTCCTGAAGGGGGGTTGAAGGCCAGAGCCTGAGGTTCCTCCAGTCTCTGACTAGTAAGCCTGGTCTTCTTTATAATTTTGAGTTTCGTTCTACATTTATCTCATTCTCAACAGGATCTTCTAATGTGATCCCTTTTAGAGCATT